CCATCCATCCATCCACCTACCCCCCCACCCATCCGTCCATCCATCCACCCATCCATCCATCCATCCGTCCATCCACCCATCCATCCATCCATCCATCCATCCATCCATCCATCCATCCATCCACCCACCCCTTCCATCCACACACACACCCACTCCCACGCCCATCCAACTATCCAGGCACATCCCCACGTTCCCCACACCGCCACCTCTCTGCCCCTCATCCCACCGCTGCAGCAGCACCCACCTTGCGTGCCGGGCGCCAGAGGTGCTGCCAGGGGGCCCAGGTGCTGCCCAGGGAGGTCAGCGGGGGGCAGCCCCCCGCACTCGAGCCGCTTCTGCCTCCGCACTGCATCCCTGCAAAGACAGGGGCTGGGATTAGCTGCGCGGGTGCATGGGTCCCCATGCACCCCATACACCCCATGCATGGACCCCTGCTCCGCCAGCTGCTTTGGGGTGCGTGCAGGATTGATCCCCAAGTGCAAGGGCACTGGTGCTGGTGCAGGACCCCCCGCCTGGGCACATRTGTGTGTGTGTCTGCATGTATGCATGTGCATGCATGCAGAAGCGTGTGCGTGCAAGCATGGGCAAGCAGGGGGTGCATGAGCACCTGTGCGCRGGAATGTGTGCRTGCATGTGTGTGCACGGGTGCAAGAGCAAGCAGSCTGCACAGGAGTGCCTGTGCACAGCGTGCATTTGCATGCCTGCACGCATGCATGGCCAGACACGACGTGTGGCACCGCAGCCCTGTGACAGACCATCAAAGTGATGGCAAAGGCCTCATGTGTCCCAAAAGTGGCTGCGATTTGCAGGCGTGCAAAGGGCTGATTACCTTCCTTGCGCTCGTGCTTTTCTCTCTGCACACTTTTGCTTTTAAGCTGAATTCCCGAATCCGCCCAGATGCCCGGGAATGCTTACCTGAGCTTGCCATCAGGAGGCAGCTCATGGGGGGGGTTGTCGCACGTCAGGCGGCCCTCTCCCTCCAGCAGGTAGACGTAGACGTGCTCCTGGGGGAGGCAGCGACTCAGGCCCCATTGCAGCCCCACGCCACACGCTTGCAACCAGCACCTCCTTGCCCTATGGGTGCCAGGAGCTCCTGCACGCACGCTTGCACTCACACTTACACATGTGCATGTGCATCTGTAGATGTGCATGCACATGCAGCTGCACACACTTGCGCTCACACCTGCATGTGTGCACGTGCACACGCAGGCCTGTGTGCACATGCTTGCACATGCTCACACATACCTGCTCCTGCACACACGCTTGCACTCACACTTACACATGTGCATGTGCACCTGCAGATGTGTGCACATGCACCTGCACACACACTTGCACTCACACCTACCCAGCACTTGCACGTGCTCATGAAAACCTGTGTACACGCTCTTGCACACGAATGCACCTGCACACACACTTGCACTCACACCTACACAGCACTTGCACGTGCACATGAAGACCTGTGAGCACGCTCTTGCACACACACTTGCACTCACACTTGCATAGGTGCACGTGCACATGCAGACCTGTGTGCACATGCTCACACACACCCGCTCCTGCACACACGCTTGCACTCATACTTACACATGTGCATGTGCATCTGCAGACGTGCGTGTGCATGCACCTGTACACACGCTTGCACTCACACCTACCCAGCACTTGCATGTGCACATGAAGACCTGTGTACACGCTTGCACACAAATGCACCTCCACACATGCTTGCACTCGCACCTACATGTGTGCACGTGCATACACAGACCTGTGTGCACATGCTCACACACACATGCTCCTGAACACACGCTTGCACTTACACCTTCATAGTATGTGCACACGCATATAGACCTGTATGCACCCGCTTACACACACATGCACACACATGCACTCTCACCTATACATATGCATGCACACACATGTACCTGCACATGCACAGTCACATCTACACCACAGACACACATGCAGATCTGCACATTTGCCTGCACACTCTTGCACACGCATGCACCTGCACTCACACTGACAAAACACATGCACACGTAAACATGCAGAGCTGCACGCACATGCTTGCACACATATGCACTTACACTCACGCATGCAGACAGATGCACACACATCTGCGTGCACACACTTGCACACATGGGAGCACTCACAGCTACGCAGCACACATGTGCACATGCATGCACACACCTGTACACGCTTGCACACACACTTGCACACACGTGGGGGCACCCAAAGYGTGGCTGATGCCTGTCCCCRTCCCCATTCCCGTCCCCATGCTACGGGGACATTCTGTGGCTCAGGAGAGGCTGCCACAGCGTCCGTGGAGCTGCATCCCTTGGCAAGACCCGGGTGCTGCTCATGGAAGCACRGGATCCTTCAGGCCAGAGGGACCCCGGAACATCCCTGCTCCAAGCCCTGGGTTGAATCAGGACACCTTGGGYTTTGAACCCTGCAAGGATGGAGAGCATCTTCTTCCACTGCTCAGATCTCCTCATGGAGGGGACATTTCTCCTCATTTCCAGCTCGAGCTTCTCACATCCATTTGTGCCCGATGTTCCTCCTCATCCTGCCATGCAGCACAACGAGGGGCCCATGTCCCTTCTTGGTGTAGRTCGGGAAAGCTGCTGCTAGGTGTCCTCTTGTCCAGCCCCAGCAATACCAGTTCTCCTCTGCTTCTTTTCCATGGCCTCATCTTGCACCTCGAGGAGGCAGGACGTCACCCAGAGCAGCTCTTGCTTCACCTCTGGGCCACCACTTGCCACCAAGGCGCTGTCATCTCCACGGACGAGCCCTTGCAGAGTGACCTTCCCATCCTTGCTTGCATGGCCTTGCATGGCAGGCATTGCATTGCATTGCGTTGCATTGCGTTGGAGCTCAACCACAGTATTAGACAGCGGAGAATCCCCACCCTAATGCAGTTCCCCCCAGCACGTACCACTCTGGGCAGCAGGGCGAGCAGAGCATCGCGCAGGGCTTGGCGCAGGCCGGCGCCGTCCAGCACCGCTCCCAGGCTCAGCAGCGCGTCCTGCGGAAAGGGGGAAACTGAGGCACGGGGCTGCAAAGGGGGAAACTGAGGCACGGGGGATTCGAGGGGAAACTGAGGCATGGGGGCTGCTAATGGGAACTGAGGCACGGGGCTGCAAAGGGGGAAACTGAGGCACAGGGATTTCGAGGGGAAACTGAGGCACGGGGCTTCAAGGGGAAACTGAGGCACGGGGGTCACAAGGGGGAAACTGAGGCAC